AGCCGCTTTTGGTATGGTTGAGCACTTAAAATCTCGTCTCTGTTGCGCCACCACTTTCAAAATGTGGCAGCATCAGCACGCCACCCTTTCTTGCGAAAGGGAGGCGCTGCGCGACTCGGTACGCCACCACCTTGCTCGCCGATCCACTTGATCGCCTCCTGCTTCTTTTCGAGCTCAATTGCTTGACGCATGATCGATTTCAAAATAACGACCCAATGGTAAGGTGTTTACAGCGGCCTTTCATTTGAAGAGGTCTTTTAATCGAAGCGGTCTTTTATTTCTAGAATATTGTCGAAAATTCGATGGGGGGTTGTAATAGTAGAAGGTCTTCTGTTCGTAAAAATCCGTTAATATGCGATGTCGGATCTCTATCGATCAACCATCCATCAATCCGATTTTCGCCAATTGCGAATATCGTGTCTTTATCACAGCCATCGTTCCCGACTGGTCAGTTAGGTTTTATGTGTCCAACTCGATTACACTTGTAGCACCTTCCCTTGAAGCCACCTTTTTCTTCTTCCTTGGACCGTAATCTTTCGGTCCAGGTCCACGATTGCTTCTAAACCGCCCACCGCTTCCGTGAACAGGAAACACTATCTCCGTGTCTCCTTCTTTTACAATCGTTCATGCTTCTTCAGCAACTGCTCCTTGACCTCGATTAGCGTGACGTCCTCGATATCTCCACAATCAACACAATCAAATCATAATCTGCCGGGAGGCTGCTCAGTAGTACCACTAGCTGTCGCGATTCTTCAACAGGCTCTCCAAGTGACTGAAGTAACAACATCGTCTAACGCATCCAGATGATTGAGTATAGTCGAGTTTCTCTCCATCTTAAATTCATGCAACCGGCGCGTCATCTCGACACGGTTGTGAAGCGCGTGATACGATTGTAAATTCTCGTAGAATGCTCAAAGCGCGCATAACCGTCGACGCAGACCGAATCCTGGTTTGGTGCTGTAACTTGATACCCTGAACGATGGCCACCAGTGCCTTGGCGTCGATGAACAGCCAGGATTCCGTCATCGCCTCTTCCCGTTAACGACTTGAACGTGCGCCAACAACCTCTTTCGTGCAAGTGTCATGCGCATGTTAAACTCTCAGTGGAAGTAATTTCCACTGCCCTGGAGGACTTCGGTTTGCTTGGACATCATAGCTGCGAGGGTGAAGCGTGCTGGATAGATTTCTTGGTGCGGCTGTTAACCTGTTCGATTATTGGTATAAACCGAACTGAATTAATAAAGGTCCATACTTTGCTACTTTCTGTTCCATCTACGTAGAAAGACTTAAAAATCTCAAACACGATTGTATCTTTGGTCTCGCTCTTGATGATTACGCCATTTGTCTTAGAAGAATGCTGTGGTCCCAATACCATACGTTGCGGATGTACGTTTCTGGTTCGAAAAGGTGGTCCTAGCTAGGTCAAAAAGCAAATAATGGAGGGTAAATCCTGGCGTCGAATTTATTATCTATATTCGTCTATCACGAACGATGCGGTTACGTTCGTATAAACTTTACAAGGTGGATTATCGCGTAATTCTTTTTCCGCAGATGACTTGATTGCTATTGTTAATTCAACTCGCGTCATCAATAAGCCCTCGCTTTCGAGCTTCTAAAGTCGCTTCCTAATTACTAGACGACACTTACAAGCTCGAATTCGGTATAGTTTTTATAAACAAACGGCCTAACGGTTCCCAAAGTCTCAGATGAGGACACTATGTTGACCAGATCAAAGCTAGCATAACGGCAATACTTTAACTGTAAACAGTCAAATTTAAGCGACCGACAAAAGGTTTTGTATATGTAAGTTTGCGATCATGCCGGTGATTGAAAAGTAAAAAAGGAAAGAGTCAAAATAAAGTAGCTATGTCTAGCTTGCCGAGCAAATACAACAATACTAGAAGTGGGTATCAAATCATTGAGCTCGAGCGTGTAGACCTTGCGGCCTAATTACTACACCCACTGATGTGTTCGGACTCGATAACAATTTCATGAAAGTATTTAGTGCTCATAATACCGACTAAGTTCACTATGTCAACCAGGTCAAAGCCAGCATAATTCAAGCGCTTAAACAAAATCAGTCGATCGTTTTTGAACGATCAAAAGTGTAGCACAAACAATGAGACAACTACTTCTTGTGCATATAAGTTGCCATATGACGATGGTACGTAGCCTTCGCGATTGTCTTGGACTCTCTTACCATCGTTTGGTACTTAATCGAGTTGTTACATTGGACTTTTCAGCGCCGGGAAGTAAATTTGACCACATTCGTTAGAAATTTCTGCAATGTGCACGATAGTGACATGCAACGAAGATCAGCGATTCTGTTTGGGAATCTGCCTTATATGATAATACGACTAAGATAGAGGACAGTAGACTTTTGCAAGCACTACTTTAGTCTTGCGTCTGAATCAACTTTTTTGCAGACGTAGACAAGTGCGTTACAAGCGCCGACGAGATGACCTTTCGACTCCAGTGGGTAGAACGGCATGCGGAAACAGCGTTTGCGCCGGAATAGTGCCTGCATACAGCTTGCTATAAGAATTCACAATTTGTAGCTTGCCATTGGACTTTTTGTCACGGAAGGTTAATTTGTAGCTTGTTATTGGACTTTTTGTCACATAAGGTCGGTCCTAATTGAGGAATGTACTCTTTCTTTTAAAACTCCCGCTTCGTGCTTCACCTCGAAAACAGCGTTTACGACGTCACACCATTTTCTTGGTACGGAGCATTAAATTATGACGCTGTTTATGTTAAGGAAAGCAAGTCAATTCTATGATGCAATTGCTGGTTCGGAATAACACGCGTGGTGGGTCACCTGTCACTACGTCGTGATATTTTCTCCTAAATCCTTCAGTAGAGTTCACTGAGTACAATACTTTAAAAGTGTCTGAAATAACTGATCCATACATAATGAACGTGCAGCTCAGCTTCTCCATCGATATCAATCTTATCATTTCGGCAACATCACGGTCTAGGAAACCCTCCCCAATTTTTTCTTTAAGCTCAACAAGAGCTTTTGCCAGTGGTGATGAGTACAGATCTTGAACCATATAATTACATCGCTCACTTCATTTTGCGACTAAATTATTGTTTTTTTTTTCAAATTCTGGAGTATCACAGCTCTGCATAATGGGCGTGTCACATGCTATCTTCAATTTGTAATACCGGAATATCGTGAGAAGGATGAGTCAGTCTTATACGTTTTAAGGCTTGACTTCTCTGATAATTGCCCGTAATGACAAGAGACCGCAACACATTGGCCTCTATTCTTCATTGGTCCTGACACAAGATATACAGATACGCTGCTGTTTTCTCAACCAGAGACACCGTCAAAAGAGCACGACACAACGCCGCTCATTTTTTTCACAACAGAAACGACTTTAGTGCTCGCAAAATATGATTGTTTTTTTCTCATTCATCTTGTGACCGCAGCTTACTATCGCTTCTTACTGTTGAGTCCTGCTCCAGTCATTTAGTAATGAATTTGTTTAAGAACATGAAGAACTCTGTGACCTGCGTCGAAGCTGTTGTAGCTTCGTGTTGCAACAATAGCGATTCTACTTTATACTATGAGTCATTAAAGTTCTACGTGGAGGAAGGTGTTTGCGTCACCTAACGTGCTCATCTAACAGTCAATTGATAAAGCACTGTGTATACACCACGTCATAACTAGGATGAGACGTATCTTGAATCCAGATCCAATCCGAGACGACATTCGATGCTGTGATAGTCCTCAAGGTTGACTACTACTCTGTTAAAATATGTGGTGCGAGTTGTACCTGCCCGTCGCCCTTTGTGAAAACAAACTATAGCTGCGTGAGGAAAAACATCAGCGACTATCGCGGAGAACTCCCGACTGTAAATCGCTATATGCTGCCTCCTTAACTAGTGATCAAGACCATAGAGCACATGGCTAGCCGGTTCAAACGCCTGCGACGTCTTTCTTCGAATACTTCCACGTTAGGGCTTATCTGACCTAACGTAGCGCTCGTTCTTACGCAGAATCTCTTGATTGGTAGACCACATGCGCGATATGCTATTGAAACATTTAAAAGCGTGGTCAATCCCTATTCCAGAGAACAATATGGATTCCGCCGTGGCCCTCAATGTCCAACTTACTCAGCATCAGCACCTCACGGCGGGTACTAACAGTTCTATTGGCGGAACCTGGTTTAAACGCTTCTGTTTTGTATTCTACTTGCAAATTCTAATAGGTGGCGAGTAACCCCAGACGAGCATTTTCTGCCTCTGGCCCTTCGGCGAACACTTTCGCGTTTAGACTACTAGTTGACATACGTTTGCGAAGTTAATCTACTTATCCCAGAGACAGGCACTCAAAATTTCCAAATTCAATGACTAAACTCTAACGAATTTAAATTGCACATTAGTGAGAGTATCGGTAATTATAAAGATGACGAGACATGAAAAGAAGGGGTCCATGGTACACTTAAATTGCTGATCGTATGTCTGAAAAAAAGTAAGCTGTTTAAATATAAAAGATGGTAAAAATGAACAAATTTAGTATTAATACATAAGCAGCAGAACTTTGTAATATAAATATTGCTGCAGATTATTAGCCGCTTAGTACATAAAAGCTCAGCTCTCTCGTTTTGCTCCTGGTAGTGAGTGGCACACGAGCCCGACCTCTGTGCTATTGTTAACGAGGACGTTGATGCTTTTCTGTGCCAAGTGCACTCACGCCTTGTTAATCTTAAAAGCACTTGTAGTCAATCCCAAACCAAGTCATGAAACGTCTGATTTATTTGCGAGGATATGAAATACTCGATAGTCCCCCTGATAAGTAGACCAGTTTTTTATCAGTGATTCCGATGGGATCGAAGAAATGGCGGCCAAAGGGCCGGAGATAATAAAACCTCGCTGACCAGCATTTAAAAAGCGTTATTGGAACACGTCTGAAAGAGCTCCCATCGATCGTCAGCAAATACCCACAAAGAAGCTGCTAATGCTGAACGTCCAACACCAACAACACAGACACGGAAAAATTTCTCACACTGGATGAGGAAAGCTGACATGGCCATAAGTTTATCCATGCTTTAAACTGTGCAGCTGCGCGCCCCGCTTGTGGTCTAAAGTGAGAAGGCCGCATACGTATTAAGATCAAATAACCGGCATCTTGGTATCAAATGCGCCACCAAACGTGGGAAGTTTTGAAGTGACAGATGTCGCGTGAGTTCACACCGCTTGACAAGGCAGATCGGATGACTTCGACGTTCTTATTTATCACTAAAGAAGAACGAGAACAAGTGGAGTATATTAAGGAGTTAATCGTCGCAATGGCATCATGCCCTCATTCAAAGGCAGTAGCGATTTTTTTATGAATAGTCTCTGAATGGGTGCATCTGGCTTCGAGACCTTCCGCGTCCAACCTACCATTTTTTGATAATGCGGTTGTTGTCGCATCTATTGCAGAGTATGACTACCGTTTTGCAATGGCTGGGTGGGGGCACTGGAAGTGGAAGATTAAGTGGACGATGAATCGCTCGGTTGTGTTCATAAACAATAGAGAAACCTCTTAGCTCGCACATGTTTTTACTGCGCTAGTACGAAACATGTGCGCTTTGCATACCTCTTGGCTCTCGGCTGAGATGTATGAAGGGCCGATGCACTACGCAAGGGCGAGCAAAAATCCATCGTAAGGCAACGTCACGCGCAAAAAGTACAGGGTG